AATCTTCATCATTCTTTCCCTTCCATAGCCCCCCTTTGGTCTTCATTTGCCTTACTCACAGCCCCGCCCTAAGTACTTCTGTTTTCTGTCTGACCCAGTTTATAACTTCTCAGAGCTCAAGAAAGAGGTTTCTAAAACACAAAACTGTTCTCTGGTCTATTTCAAATCTCTTTAATGTCACTGCTTTGTTCTGTGATAAAAGCCAGATAATTTAGCCTAGCAGATGATGGATGTGCTTCATGTTCAGGTCCAGTTCATTAGCTGGCTCCATACTTGGCACACAGTAGGTGGCCTCATTCCTCCACATGTCCCGTTGCTTGAGCCACGTTCAGCTGTTTGCCTGTCTGCTGTTTCTCATCTAGAATTCCCTTCACTCTTCCCTGCTCCCTCCAACCTTCACTAGATAATTCTAATGCATCCTTCAAAACCCAGCTCAATCATCACTTCCTCCCCTGATCTGGTTGCCCTTTGCAGTGCTCCTGGAGTAGTCACACATTTCTCTCCTGTTCTGTACAGGCCCCTGAAAATGTGAACTGTAGACAGCAGCAGCAGCATATAGAAGCCCGTGGGATGTGCAGTTTCTCCTGCCCCACTTAAGACCTACTAAGTCAGAATTTCTGGGCATGGACCCTGGCAATTCATTATTCTTCTGCATGCTGAGGGCAGAGCAGCACTGCCCTGGACATTTTGAGAGCACATACCATGTCTTATTGGATCCCTGACTTCCCTCGGTTTCTCATACTGACTGGGATAAAGCAAAGGATCAATGAATGATCAGTGAGTGAATGAACACTGGGTTAATCCTTTAATTCATTAAACCTTTTTTTTTTAAGATTTTATTTATTTATTCATGAGAATACACAGAGGGGTGGGGGAGAGAGAGAGAGAGAGAGAGAGAGAGAGAGAGAGAGAGGCAGAGACACAGGCAGAGGGAGAAGCAGGCTCCATGCAGGGAGCCCCACATGGGACTCAATCCCTGGTCTCCAGGATCACGCCCCGGGCTGTAGGCGGCGCTAAACCGCTGAGCCACCGGGGCTGCTCCATTAAACCTTTTTTATCTAGGAAACAGGGAGTAGTCCAATGCCTCCAAATATTCTTAGAATTGGAATACGTCTTTAATTTTGAATTGGTTAAGGCTCAGGTGCACTGTTTGTTCTGGCACTATTATAAGGGGCACTGAAATAATTTCAAGTTTAGAGCTGATTAAGCACAGAAATCGAGTATCCCTCAAAAGTACATTTTTATGCTTCTACTGTACAGCAGAAGGTGCTACCCTCTGCTTCAAGCCCTGAAAGACTATTTGCAGCTTTCCTTAAATTGTCTTCTTTGACTATTTTTTGAATATAGTAGTTTAGGAAGGAAAATGCAAATTGTACAGCTATGGTAAAGACTGCTACATATCAAAATATCTCATGGCTTCTTTGGTTTCTCACAAGTCTCTGTGCTAGCTATCTGCTGCTTGTAAAGCTTTCTTGCAGCACTTCATGCTAAAATAGGAAGGTACTAGTAGGACTTTTTTGACTTTTTTCAGGTATAATTCCACTCCTCTAAAACAAACTGATGTAAGACATAGTCTGTTAAATACAAACTGCTCACCAAAGCCATAAACAAAAATGTGCCTTAATTTGTTTGTGTGTGCCTTAATTTTTAAATGATTTTCTGTACTGTTGTTCCATGAAGGGAAAAAGGACACCATTCTTGAGGTCTAACACACAGCTTTCATAGCAGTTAGACTGGTTACTACCAAAACACTAAGAGAAATCAGTTGTGGTAAACTTGTATTAAGTGCTGGTAGTTGAATAGTTAACTTTAATCACATCCAGTACACAGAACTGTTTAAAGTACAGATTTGACAAAGTAGAGAGCAGGTGTTTTAACTCTTTATCTTGAGGTTAAGGACTTTATAGATGGTAGAGTACAAAATAGCATCTGCTAGTAAAACTGCTCTCCAATGGACATTTAAGTGAACAGGCAAACAGAAATCAAGGGTCATAAGGGTAGTTAGGGTCGGCACAGTCAACTGCCCTGCCACTCTTTTTCAAAAAAGGCTTAAAAGAGGCAGCAGAGGGGAGATGCCCAAGCTAGAAATGTACCCAAAGGTTCTTCAGCGACTCATCTATGCTGCAGTGTCTTATGCTTGGTGTGTGACAGGGTCAACCACCACCTTCAACTCTTCCTCACAAATACTTCCATCCCGCCAACAGGACAGTACCTTAACTGAGAAGCTCTTTTCACCAGCACTTACAGTGGTTATAGAAACTAGTGAGGAAATTCTATTTTTGAAAAATTTCCTATTTTAGTTTTGTTAGACGATATATTTTAAGAAGTGGAGAATAACATGAGTTAACATGAGTTGAGCAAAGGGAGCAGTTGGTCACTAAACATAAAAAGCTCATTAAAAAAGATGCTGAAATGTATTAATTAGAAATCAAAAGTGTATTCAACTTCCACTGACACATCTCAAAGGCACCCAGAGTCCGACTCTAACGAACACTTAGGAGAACCAAACTTCTTTTGGCCTCTACGTTTTATGACTTAGTTCCTCAGGAATACTTTCCTCCTTTCAATTTTTTGCCAAGTTTAAGTTCATTGCTTTTGTAGACAAGCCACAGAGTCTACAAGGAAGAAAGTATAATTTCAGTGACATGTTGCTCCTGGATGCCAACAAAGGGGGAGGATCATTTCCAATTGTTTTGGCATACTGAAAACAACCATATGTGGATTAAGTTTAAACAGCAACAGAGAAAACAGCTGACCTTCCTGGATTAAAGACCTTTGCAATTCAGGTTGTATCTGTAATTAAGCTGAGTAGAATGAGTATTTTCAGTTTCTTTATTCTCTGGAATAATTCCAAAAATCCTTTGAGCAGGTATGCTGCTGTAGAAGCTGAACCCTGAGTAGATGAAGGATTAAACAAATATAAAGGGTTTCACGATAAACTCTAGTATAAAAGCAACAGAAAGCTGCAGAGAAAAAAATATATGTATGTGTATTATATAATTATGTATGAGTGTGTACACGTGTGTATATATATTACTTATATGGGCAAATAAAATGGAAAACTAGTTGAGCACATAAAAATTATATTCAAAATTCTCATATGACATTTATTTTTTTTCATTCAGACACTCCAGCTATTATAACACAGCAGGAACAAGCAGCACTGGTTACATCTAAAGCTAGATGTGATTCAGTATCCAACCCCTTTATACAGTCAGATCCACAGACATGTGAGCAACTATAGCATCAGACTGCCAGCAAAGCACGAGTTTCATATAGGGAATATAAATGCATCCATTCACTTCCTCTCATTAACTTCACAGTCAGGCTTTGAACAATGCGATTGATTAACATACTCATTGTTCTCTTATGCTTTTACCTCAAATTTTTACATCTTTAGGGATCAAAGATATCTGAATACTTAGCAAACAAATGTTCCTGCAAAACCATCTCTGTAAAACGTAGTGGCACCAAAAGTGCCAGAATGGTTTTTTTACTGTTTCAAGGGACCTACAAAAATGCTAAGGAAAACAAATCTATGAACCAATTTTATTTTTATTTGCATTTAACATGATTATACACATTCATGTGTCTAACAAGATCTGCACTGTTACATTAAAAATACAGTACAATAACATTCAACATGAGGTACTTCATATTTATATATTTTTCCTTCATAAATAATGCTGTAAGCTACTAAATTCAAGCACTCTGCACAAATGGCTAGTGTCTTGAATTAGCCGAGCTTATTTAAACACCTTAAAAACAAAAAAGACAGTTCAGTGCAATAATTATGTAGAAATTAGACCATTTACTTAAATACTATATTAAGATATGCTTAAAGAATGTTACATTAGAACTGCTAGCCTAGTTCCCCTTTATCCCCAGTATGAACAACGACAAAGACTGCCAGATACATTGGGAAAAGCATCTACAGAGTATTCTGTTTAATAAAGATGTGTTTTTACACTAGAGTTGCCTGTCTTGTCAGAACAATGGTTTTCTAGTTTTAAAAGCTACAAAATTCGAGATTACCAAAGAAAATGAAGCAAGCACATTAGCTTTCATTCCATGTTGTTGAAAATGCAACAGGGAGAATAGGATTCAAAATACAAAATTTCTTATTCTAAATACAATTTTCAAATTTAACTCATGGCTCTCAACACCAGCCAATTAGGTGATGAATCTGTCTTTTGTTTTTTAGGTAATAATAATTAACATAAAATCAGGCTCTTATACCCCCAGTGTACAAGATCTCCCTCGGCTTTTCCCCAGCAGTTCCCTAGCCACCTGGAGGGCATCTTGCTAACAGGAGTGCTGACAGTGAACGTTACTAAATGAACAGTCTTTAATCTAAGGTTATCACACCCACCTCAACAATCTGATCTGATGACATTAGTGTTAAATCAGGTTTCTTCTTCTCTGGCTTAAAAATGAGTGCCTTCTAATCAGGTATATAGTCTACCAATTTGCATGGTAGCTATGAGTTACCGAAATGTTTAATCATAATTTAAAAGCAAAATCCTTTACAGAACTATTTTTAAATTGAAAACACACCTTTATTTCATAAATACTTTGCCAAAACTACTATCTGTCATCTTCCTAATAAAAAATAGTTGTTAGATAATTTTGGAAAGTTGTCCTGGGAGTACTCATCTAAAATCACCAGTAACAGCTTTTGATCATCTATACTAACAGGCATAGGTAATGGCAAACATGATTAAAACATTTCCCATAATCCAGTGTTCTCCTCCACCAGGGAAGCTGGCCAGAAGCAACAAGCCCACGAGTGGGGGGGGGGGGCCGGGAAGTGGCCCAGAAGCACACTGAATAAGATAAGGGTAGTCACTTACTGGGGCCTTGCTAGGGCCAGCATGGGGACCATTTCTGTCTGACCTCTTACTGGCCAGGCAGGGAGGAGACAATGCCTGAGTCGGCAAACACACTTGCATGCACATGGACATGCATGGACGCCCACAGCGTGCACACACCCACCCACCCACCCCAGGACTAACCCCTGGCTCCAGACAAGCCAGCTTGGGACTCGCAGAGCAGGAGAAGGAGGCGGCCAGGGACCACACTCTGGGTGGTGGGGGAAGCCATCTCAGGATCACACTGAGCAGAAAAGCTGCCCAGAAAGACATGGATACTTCAACTGGCAGTGAACACATTGGACACTACCAGGGTCACAGGCACTAAACCATCACAAGCCATCACTGAAGGAGAATTTTTGGATGAGCTTTTCCCTCCTTTGTTTACATTAGCCATGTAAAAATAAGAGGGCCGGATGTGATGCTGATGCAGTGAGTATCAGGTACAATCAAATGTATCGCTCCAGACTTATTTTAAAAAACCCTGCAGGCATATATTGGCACTTTAAGATAGCCAAAGACCAAATTCTAGCAGTCTAGGAACAGGACATAATTATAACTAAGAAGATAGTATGTGGTCAAAGTAGATCAGGTAAAGTGTATTTTGGATTAAAAAGAAAAAAGAAAAATCAAAGAATAAAAGTATCTTATTACATTAACATGTAGTGCTACAAAACTAATTGTTACTCTACAAATCTGAAGAATTGTTTGGTCCTCTTTTCATGGGAAAAAGGGCATAAGAATTCTATAAAGTATGACTTATAAAAACAAGCAAATAGTGGGGATCAGAAGCAAAGTGGGGAGAAGACTGGCTTTTTCAAATGGTGTGTTCTATCATGCCATCAAATAGACTATTTGTAGAATGGGACTTCTTTAGGTTTCCTTTCTAAGCTGTTTTATTTTAAATTAATAGGCTTGTGATTTTCCCCAATGATAATAAAAATGTGTAATTTAGTTCCAAAAGAAGTGTCTGTACTGCAATAGTTTGCCTTCTAAACTAAAAAGATAAAAACCTGCTTGTAGTAGAAGTCCTGGCCTAAGCAAACACCCAATTTCCTATTTTACATTGATACTTTGCAGTGTTTAACATTTAACAATCTTATGAATTTTGGATTTAAGAAAAAATAATGCCCAGAGTAAAATACTTAAAATGAAACAAGAGCTAAACAAAACTATCGCCTACTTTCTACATTATTATTTATTACGAAGCAAAGCTTCTTTCAAAATTGTACACTGAGGTTTACATGTAATTTGGGGAGAGGGGGGAAGTTCTCTTTAAAAATAACTCATTATTATTTTAGAATATTTATTTCTATTGTCAAAATAAAGCCCCAGAAATTCTGAGAGACACAAAACTGGGAGGTCAATGGAGCAGTTGGAAAAGAGCACAAATTCTCCTCGGGTGTATAGATGCAACTCTAAAAACCACAAAGCCTTAATAAGAACTTGGCTCTTTTAAGCATATAGTTAAAAGCTGAATGCTGCATTTTTGCCTATACATAATTAAAAGTTTGAAAGAAATTAAGAAACTGCCTACAGCTTCATTCATTACGAATTACCTGCGCTGATCTGCAGATGAGCTAAGTATAAGCAAGTAGGAACCAGATGCGCACCTCAGAGCTCACACTGCTTTGGGAGGTGTTTTCAAGCATAGAATATGAGTTCAGGGATCTGCCCTCCTTGCACCCCAGTGCCATTGGTACTATCTGAGGAGCACTGAAACTGGACAGTCACCTTGCCACACTGAACTTCCGTCATGCCTTCTTGTCCAAAGTAGCTGAGTTCATTTCCATCCAGTATCACGCTGGCTGTGTAGAAGGTGTCTGGTTCAATCTGCACTGGGTACTCAAACCACACGGGGAAAGTATTGCTGGAGCCATCTGAGAAGTACTTGCTCAAGTTCTGCCCCAGAACAACGCCCTGCCGCTTGAGTTCAATCTTGGCGCTATACTCTGCAGAACCACAGCTGGAGCCATACAGCCCAAAGCCAGCAATGAACACTCTCTTATCAACTGCGAACTGGATGCTGTCACAGCGGCCCCGGTAACGCCACTGGTTGCTACGATAGGCACATGATTGGAAACGGTGACAGCGCTGGGGGACGAGGCCCTTGCGGGCTTTACTTACAAACTGCAACTCGGGCTTTTTGGCTGCAGTGTACCAGAGGAAAATGTCATTGGTCTCATTGAGAGTTAAAACTCCTGACTGGGCAGCACCATTTGCAAAATCATCCAGGGCCATTGTGGGTATGCGGATTAAGTAAAGTGCCTTTCCAAGGACCTTGCGTTTATTTTCAATGCTCAAAGCTAGATCTTGTCGCTGGCATTCCACTTCAGCCCAGTTGAGAGCTGCCTCAAAAACCACAATTTCTTTGGCATTCAGAGTTTCCCTGCGGAGGATACTTTCTAGAGTCTGGAAGTCGATATCGCAGAATCCCTCAGACTTGAGAGCTAACTCAGCCTGGGCATCGATCACCTCCCAGCAACGCTGGGTCAGGTCTGGCTCCTCAAACAGGCAGCTCTGGGAGAGGAGTACACAGGCGTTCTTGGCGCTCAGGCTGGTCTCCAGGAAATTAACGCAGGCTCGGGCGAGGTGAGGGACAATGTACTTTTTGGCAGCATAAAGAGTGGCCAGCACTGTGTCAGCAGCCAAGTCAATTTCATCACAATAGATATATCTGAAAGAGAGCACACAGCATGTAAATGGAATTTTCACAAAATCAATGTGTCCAGCAAGATGCAACTACTTTCAAGTTAGTTCCAAGAAAATCATCTTATGTGACAGTTATTATAAAAATGATTGGGATTAAGGGAACATCTGAAATATGTTCATTAATTATTAATATTTCAACTCAGCAGTAAATTTGTACAACTAAAGACATTAACTTTCTGTTACCATTCTAGCCTCTATTTTATAACCTACATTCAATGTCTTCTCAAAAAAAAAAAAAAAAAGATACTAGAGCTGTTTGAAAAAAAAAAAAAAAAACTATACACCAAAGTTAGTATTAGCAAAAAATAGCAAAATTTCTGTTAAATACACCATCTTATATTTAATCAAAAAATAATCTCCAGGGATCCCTGGGTGGCGCAGCGGTTTGGCGCCTGCCTTTGGCCCAGGGCGCGATCCTGGAGACCCGGGATCGAATCCCACGTCGGGCTCCCGGTGCGTGGAGCCTGTTTCTCCCTCTGCCTGTGTTCTCTGCCTCTCTCTCTCTCTCATTCTATGTGACTATCATAAATAAATAAAAATTAAAAAAAAAAATAATAATCTCCAGAGCACTTGGTGGCTCAGTTGGTTAAGTGTCTGCCTTCGGCTTAAGTCATGATCCAGAGGTCCTGCCTGGGATTGAGCCCTGTGTCCTGGAGCCTATGTCCTGCTGGGCTCCCTGCTCTGTGGAGAGTCTGCTTCTTCCCACTGCCACCCCCCTCCTTCCTCATGCTCTCTCTCTCTTTCCAACAAATACATAAAATCTTTTTTTTAAAAGAATGATCTTATGTTTTAGAATAGTGCGCTCTCTCTCTCCATATATATACACAGACATACATAATTTTATTTTTAAATTTTCTGTACATTCAGAAAGAAACAAATGCCTTTAGTACTATAATGTTGGCAATGATTACATCTTAATTCTTTTAACTAGGCAGGACTTGAATTTTTCCTTAACACAAAATAAAACCTGAAATTAAGCAAGATATTTTTCAAGTAGTTTTAAAGTCCAACAGATTATCAAATATGAATTTCAACAATCCAACATAGGCTTTTTATCTGGCTTTTTTTTTTTCCTTCAAACTCTAAACTCTTTCTTCTCCACACATTTCTTCTACCTTCAGAATTAAAGACTATTATTTCTGGATATATTTAATTAAAAGACAAAAAAAGCAAGAAAGCCCAAATATGCACTTATTTTTATGATTCTGTAAGATATCCCTATGTCAGGATGAGAGAACATTTCTTGTGATTTGGGGGAATGGTGGCAGCCTCCCAAAATGGTATGTAAAGACAAAAATCATCTGCTTCTTTTAGACTGGTATGATTGAGTATGAGAGTCAGTGAGAACTACATACGGGTGAAAAATACATATTGTTAATACTTAATTTTTATATTTTTCTAGCTAATGCTAAGATGTTTAGCTACTTGCTGTGAAGTTTTCCTTTAATTTCTACATTTTAAATCAGTAAAACATATATGACAAAAGATTAGCAATGGCTTCTGCACAAGTAAAAAATCCCACAGTGATGACAATAAGAAAAACATCCACAATCACAAATGAAACTTCCATTTTTGCTCCCTAGAAGCTCTTCTCTTCTGATATGCTAAGCCATAATATACCTGGCAAGACTAACTCACAACATACCGGCAGCTCAGTGATGTTCTGACCTGAGAACCAGGATGTTGGGGAAGAATCTGAACAAGGTCAGCACGTTGTGCCTCTTACCCCGGATTGTCAAGTGAGCAGTCTTCCCCCTTTTCTTGACAACTCCCTTTCTAGGAATACTGGCTACTCAGCCATACAATGCATGGTCTGGAAAACCTGGCCCCCACTGTCCATGGCAACAGTGCAGCACTAACTATGGCCCAACAGCAAACGGCACCTTACTTCATTTCTGATTCTTACCACAGTATGTATCATTTTAAAAAGCTGTATTGAGATATATTCTAGGTAATGTATTTGTAAGAAAAAATGCCTACAGAATGACTTGAGTGAAATGTAACTTTATAATTCTTACTTGTGTTTCTTAATTATGTATCTATTCTGGCTGAAACAACAGGACACTCTACTGGACTGCAGTGCAGTCAAAATGCTGAACTAGTGTTGGCGTTCTCCTCAGCAAGAGACAATGTCAAATATACAAAGCTGACTTGACTGGAAAAAAAAAACAAAACCCTCAGGTAAAACTGGTTTCTGTACATGTACCTCTAGAAGATTATAAAGGTCACTAAGTGTTGGTTGTTTAAAAGTGGTGGATTAGTTTACCTTTTGGTACTTTACATGCTCACTTATCTTTCATTTCCCTATTTCCCATTGTGAAGTTTCAGTCAGAAGCAATCTGATTTCAAAACTACAACATAGATAAAGAATTGAATACTTTTAAGTTCTACAATTGACTATAGTACTTATTTCTCAGTAGAAATAGACAATAAATATCTTGCAACATTTTAACCATTTGTGGGATTATCGTCCAAGTTGTTGACACAGAAAAATTTAACAAACACATTTATTCCAGGGAACCAAAATGCCCACAGAAGCAGATAACCTTGAACTCTTGATATACTTGGTGTGCTAGAGTAAGGATTTAACAAAAATCATGAAACCTTACTTATCACACTAACACCAGTGCACATCAAAGAAGCTGATCATATTTTTAAGTATATATCTTACATGTTTATATTTTTATATTACCAATTAAAATTTTCTTGTAAAAATACATATAAAACTATAGAAAACTATTCATCTCTCTCAAAAATGTTTCTTCTACTATCAAATATTTCTTTATCTTTGAGAAATGGTATCCGGTTGTATGTAAGAGTACCTGTATGTATGGTATGTATGTACATACAAAGATCAGATATTTTAACACAGTAAGTTTTAAATATTTTTTTTTTCTTAAGATTTTTTATTTATCTATTCATGAGAGGCAGAGGGAGAAGCAGGCTCCATGCAGGGAGCCCAATGTGGGACTCGATCCTAGGACTCCAGGATCATGCCCTGGGCCAAAGGCAGACTCTCAACCTCTGAGCCGCCCAGGCATCCCTAACACAGTAAGTTTTATATCTGCTGACAAGAAACAATAATTCCTAGAAAATTCAGGAATCTCTTAACTAATGGTACTTAAATGGAGTATAGAATTTCTGGAATTGTGAAACAAAATATAATTTATATCTTTAAAGACTTCTTCATACACAATGCTGTCAGAGAGAACACACTGTAATAGACAATCCTCCATGACAAAGTGATTTTTAATTTTAAGTCGTTAAAAAAATCAAATCACTATCCGTGCCACTTGCTCTCAAATCCCATGCCAAGGTGTCATTGCAAATGCCACCATTCCACATGCTTTTGTCCCAAAATATGCACAGTAGTTTTCTCCAAAAACATTTACAAGGTAAGCAGCACCCTCTTTCTTCAGCATTCTCCCTTTCAGTTACACAGAACTTATATTTAACTGTGAAGCCGGCAGAGTACAAACACATCATAAACAAACTCTTTCTAAGCAAATGAACGATGCTTACTTCAGCATAGCGAGAAAAGCAGCAGGTTCGACATCTGGTATACGGATTTCATCTTTGTCCTCAGCAAGTTCTCCATAAAACATTGCATGGAACACAGAGCTCCCAACAGCTAAAACATACTGTGGAGAAAGGGAAATCTTATTTCATGCATTAAACTGAAAGCATTTTCAGTAAATCAGTCCAGAAAAACAACTCCAAGCAATCAGGTTTAGTGGACATGAAGCAACTACACCTGCTCTTTCTTCAAAGCCAAGGTCTAATGTGTATCCTGCTGTGAAAGCAGAAGATAGATGTTCATGCAAGCCAGTCTTTATGCTGCTAATTACCTCAAAGCTTTCAGGGATTAATGTGTAAGTTCCCTCATTACAAAATAAATAAAATAAAAGCTTATCTAACCAAATTTCTAGGGGAAGAGTAAACATGACTTTCCTAACCTGTCACAACAACTTCCCATGACTGGAGAGTTCAGAGGGCATATTTTTGTGTGGGATGTAAAGCACGGTAGAAAGAAACAAAGAAAAAAAATTAAGCGTGGCTAAGACCTTTTGGAGAGGCTATGCCTTCTCTGTGATGGGCGAAACACGCACTGCCTGCCATCGGCAAGCTGCCCACCCCAACCAAGTTTCAGGCTTATGGAGAGGAGAGGGTCCCTCTTTGTAAATCTCAGGACTAAACCGGTAATGCAGCTGTTGCTTACTTTGTGTCCTGGCAACCGCTGAGTCCCACCTGGTGGCCCAACCACAAAATGTACATCTGCCATCAAATCATTATTGAACATCACTGCATTTCTATAAACAGAGGCAATTTATTAATTCACAGCAGCCAGCATTTTTAATACCCCCTCCCAACATGCAAATCCCACAAGACTCGCAAGCTTAGCAAAGTTTAGTAACTTCAGGGCAGAACTACCAAATACAGATTCCACTAAACAACTGTTTGTGATCATTGCAAACACATGGGAAGTAACTAAAGTTAAAAAAAAAAAAAAAAAGCAAAAAGTTATCCAAACTTTTCATAAGACTAAGGACAAATAATAGGTTTCTATCTTCAAACCTTCCATGGTCCGTAGACACAAGCCTGTCACTTAAATGTTACAGCTTGCAGAAACATTTTTATCTAAGAGGAAAACAGCTGTACTGTTTTGGAAAAGATACAAGGCAGTTTTCCATTACCAATAAAGCTTCTGGGAAAAGAGGAAACACAGATTTATGTTAAAATACATTACAGGTTGTGCAAAAGCAGAAACTTCAACACAGGAAAACTTTTAAAGTAAATATGTTGGTCTGGCACTTACCTTTCTCGAATGGTAGGATAAAGACCCTGCCAGTTTGGGGCCGGAATAAGGTTGTTATTACTGAGATTCTGCTGGTGGTACTGCTGGACAGTGGTGCTGCTGGAGTTGGCTGGTTTTTTACGAGGGAATATATCAGCAGCCATCTTCTTCTTCTTTTTAGTCTTCAAGGTAATTATTTCATAACAAACTGGGGGCAACTTGCTGCTGCTGCCGCTGTTGCTGCTGCTGGTATTTGTCTTCGAGCTTTTCTTGGACCTATTCTTTACCGTCTCTGGAAGCATCAAGAAGAAGGTGAGACATTTCATGTTCTTTTCCTTGTCATCTACCATGAGTACAGTATGTCTTTCTTTATAGCTAGATATCCCAAATTGGTGCAAACATCAAAGAAAAGAGGCTAGCATGAGCCAAGATGTTAACAGAAACCAACAAGCTGCTATTTTGCTTCTTCTCTCAGCCGGACAAGGTGACCTTTTCACTATGTTCAATAGAAACTGGCTTTAAGTTTTATCCAGTACTGGGTCTGCTAAATACATCTCCATCATGATTCCTATTGCTCTTATGTGCTCATAAAAATAACCCAGTTTCCTAGATCACCTGAAAATGCTACGCTGAGCACAGATGACAGGCAGAGAGAGACGTAGCACTTGTTTTCTGAATTAGGTTAGCAAGATGTGCTGGAGCCGTGCGAGTCTGTTCAGCCGGCTGAAGTTGTATGGTGAATGGATCGGAGGAGAGTAGGTATTACAGCCCTGCAGATGGAGTCAGACAGCCAGTGCTGGGAGCCAATAGCTGAAGTCACCAATCATGATTGGACCAAGCAAAACAGTGACACCTATTGTAACGTGCATAGCTCTGGTATTAAAGGAACAGTAGTTGCATTCTGTTGTCTCCTGTATTATTGTATATTTAGGTAAGAAAAACAACCTATGAAATACATCTGCAAACAGGAAAGGAATAGTTTGTGCCCACAGATTTCTCTGCAGTAGATGTACATTTTTATTTCCCCAGTTAAACAAGCAGGATCAATTAACAAAGGGTAGGGACTGGTAACTACTCTGTGTTTCTAGTAAAATCTTTATCCCAGCAGCATTTAGTTTCAGATACTTCAAACAAAATCCTCCATTCTTCCAGCTAAAAGGGATTATTAATAGCAAAACCATACTCAACAACACATTTATGACAGCTTAATGGAAAGGAATGTTGTTTTTCTTTTTCCAGTCTCTTTGAACGCAAGTTATAGTCTAGTGTAAAATAAGAGAGATGAGGTCATGTGTTCATTTTACCTCCTAACATTTTCTAGTTCCTATGTTGATCTTTGACAGGAGTCCCAGATCAGAAAATACTTTTAAATTTGACTAAGATTATACCACTAGGTTTAGCTGTACTGAAACAGACAAATTTTAGATATGAAAATAAGATTCAAATGAAACAAATCTGTAACCTTTAATCAGTATTTAAAGGTTATAATTCACTAAAAATACATCAGATGGGCCCTGCGCAGGATCTCAAAATCCGGCCTCAATGTTATGGCTTTATTTAACTTGTAATAATTTTAAAGAATATAATCCACAACTTCTAACACAAACCCAGTAAAAAGGCTATTCAAAATGATAAATGTTCTGATGCTGCCTAATTAAAATGCAAACAGGTTCTCTCTGCTTTGAATCAGAAGAATATAAACTACTACGTATGTGGTTTTCATGGATGTGAATCCCACAACAAACTCTAGCTTTGTTGAGCAAGAAAAAACAAACCCTGCTACAGGTTCCACATATATTTATTTCTAGAGAGGGACTAATGAGGAAATTTAATCCCACCCCATCTATCTGGATTACTCTCATCTGTTCCAGGTGCAGCAGCCATTTGCTAACCCCCACTCCTGGCTCAATCTTCTCGGCCACGGCCCTGCTTGTTGCACAGCATTCATCTGAATAATGAGTCCCTGACACAGTAAGGGCTGAACGAATGCACTATGATGGTCATTGTAACTAATAATCTACTCAGAGAACAAACCGAAACCAAACTTTTAATCCCTGAGGCCCTAAATCATGAGACTGAACCAAGGAATATCCTCTTTTTTTTTTTTTTTTAGGAATATCCTCTTTATTGTCATCATTATTACTCTTAAAACTGCAAAGCCAGTACAAGATAGACTGTGTATAGAAGAGAACCAATGGTCTTTACCACGAGGCTATTCATCCCCATTTTAGATGGACCCTGAGTGCTCTTACTTATAATTACTGTGTCCCCAATCACAGGGCTACCCACCCCCCTACACACACACACACCCTCTCAAGTCACACATCACAGAGAGAGATCTAGAGACTAGTTTTTAAAAGCATGTGGTGAAAGGTATGAAGAAACAAATCTGTTCCCATTTGACCTAACTACCCAGGATATGGTTAAAACCAAAAGATTTTTCTTCTGTTTAACTGCTACTGAGCTTCCTGACACCAACTCCTTGGAAAGCCCCCACTGATAGGGAGGTCCTTCTAACCAGGATTAGACCTGGCTTTCAGGTGAAGATAGTGACCAATTAGAATGGAAAGAATAAGCTGCTTTGAGACAGACATACTAATAATTGTCAACTGGACAGACAAAATAGAACAAGCATAAAAAGCAGATACAAGATAAAAGTAGATATAAGCTCCTTAGAAGGCTTTGTGGTTTTTATTCATTTCATATGCAGTTCAACACCTTTTACCAAGAAAGGCTTGAACACTGCTCTTACACCACTAAAATAAAAAGTGTGCGCAACAGCTTAAGAAAATCATATAATATTTTAGAAAATGTTCTTTCTGATATTAAAGGTTTTAGGTATTTGGAAAATTAAGTTTTGTGGAAAAGCTTGAATATACTAATTACATGAAGCACTGCTCAATCTGAATCCCCTAGAATAATACTGCAAAGAGGGTCATTGTCACTCAAGAAATGTGGGACTGAGGAGTATGGCTGTTTTAAAGAAATGTTAATACAAAAAAAATGTTCTGAAATACAAAAATTAAATGGCATTTTAACTTTTATAATCAAATTGAAAAGCATGAAAATGTTAGTAAAATCATGACATAGAAAGCTTCTTAAGAGCTTCGTTTTCCTACCACAGTTTAAAAAGTAACACCAAGTCCTTGCTCATCAAAGTGTGGTCCATGGAGCAGCCTCAACAGCAGCAGCGGAACCTCCTGGGAGCCTGCCGGAAATCCAGAATCTCATCCAGATTCTGGATCAGAAATGCATTTTAACAGGACCCTCTAGGTAATCTGTAGGACATTCAAGTTTGAGAAAACCTCATATGAGATTAAAATAAGGAAGATTACGGGGTCTCCCAATGATCCAGTATCAACATCTGGAGCCATGTTTCGCATTCAATTATCAAGTGAATGTTAAAAAAATTTAAAATGATTTAACTTGGTTTGATCATAAAACTTAATCTTCATATCTTATTATAAAATTAGGGCCTTCTGATTAGGCCCTAAATGTCAAAATTCTAGGATTCACGTGTGTGGACAGCCAACTAAGAGGCCTCAAAATATTTTTCGACTCTCTGGAAAAGAAGCTCATGCTCAGATTATTTTATAGGACAACAGAGATCACGTTTGTGGGAAAAAATAAAAGATTAAGGAATGCCAAGTTGAAATAAATTAAGCATTTAATATTTTCAAATAATCTACTCAGATTTCTTTCAAAAAATATATATTCTGGTACAGCAAAACTAGCAATCACATAATGTGGTTCAGTCCCCATTCGGCCACAAAAAATTGAAGTGTGTGTGTGTTGGAGGGGAGGGGAGTCTGATAAATCATTTAGCTTTTAAGGGCCTCAAGTTCTCAGCAATAATATGAAGAGGTTCTCTAGATGACTGTTTCTCCATCTTTACCTTCAATCCTCAGTCAGAAATGCATTATATATTTGGACTCAGTATTAGCACATATTCACGCACAAATGGAAAGATAGTTTACAGAAAACGCTTAGCTTATTAGGATAGTATAGATATTTTCGATCTGATTTTTCTCTTTTATTTTTAATGTTGATCTTAATTCATTTTATTGCTTTCATAACACAGTTTAAGTGATACTGGTCTAGATGATTTCTAATAGCTTTCAGAATTTAACATTCCAGGGCTCTCTTTTATCAAGAACTTGGACTAAGGGGAAGAAAGCAATAGCTGCATCAACAAATGGAATGAACAACTGGGAGTGTACATTTATTTTCCTGGAAAAAGGAGCCACAGTTATCATCCATCATTCAGAGCAATCCATGACCCAGACCGAACACAATAAAATGTTATAAAAATTTTTAATTGATTTGATTATACAAAATATTTATATGTCACTTTCCTCTCTGCTTTCATATCTATAGTCCACTTCTTTAAACACAAATTATGGCTTCTTTTCCCCCTGAGAAATTAAATTTGGAGTTAAAACTCCAATCTATTGAATCTGCAACCCAAAAACATCACCCATTAAGCTGAAGGGTGGATAAAGGATACCAGCTCCAAATGTACTTTCATATCTTGCCTCCAAAATTTCAACTAGCATTGTATCATTTATTCTTTACGATTTTATTTATTTATTCATGAGAGAGACAGAGAGACAGAGGCAGAGGGAGAAGCAGGCTCTACGAGGGGAGCCCTATATGGGACTCCAGGACCACACCCTGAGTCAAAGGCAGATGCTCAACCGTTGAGCCACCCAGGTGTCCCAGTATCATTTATTCTTATGCCTCCTGAATTTTTTTTTTTTGCCTCCTGAATTTTAAAGTTGTTATAAGACATGGTTAATCTGTCCTAATGAAGTAAATTGGTCAAGAAGCCCATCAATCTTTTATGGAAGTATATACATGTATCTCTCACTTTTTGAAAGTCCACATTTTGTACTTTGCTTTTACGAAGACCTACATTAATATCTATTTTGACTAGCTAAAGGAAATCCAAAGAATTTTTGCTTTTATGAAAAAAGGTAAAAAGCAAAAATAGCATTCAGCATGTTTTGCAGTGAGCCATTACAGAGGCAGCACACATCCTGAGAAAAGTGGCCCCATCAAAATTCTTCCCTGGGAACTACACTCAGCATCAAGCCATCAGAGCTTTGAACTCTGTGAACATCTGTGCTTTATCTTGATTTATTCTGTGCATCTATTAGCAAGATGTGTTCTATTCTATCAGAAAAGCCAGAGAGAAGTCATTTTTTGGTTCCGGGGACACTCAAAACTTTTTCCAAACGAATTAATGGTACTTGCTTCTTTATGCCTTTTTGGCTTACAAAGGGTTTCACAGGTATGCTGTACTTTCAGATAGAGGCAAAACCTGTACTTAAAATACAACATACTGATCATGCACTGTGTTAGGTGGCTGGCATATGATAGTGAGCAAGATTAGGAACCAACTTTAAGAGATTAGCCAGTCATTGTGGGTTTTGGATGATTTTTACAATTGTCAGGAAGTTCAATCATCTTTATTTCCTTTCATTCAATTCCCAATAATAAGATTATCAACAGAATTTAGGCTCACATAGATCATCTTCTTCACCACTGGAAGGTCCGCTTGACATCCCTCTTTATTTGGTAGAATCTTATATATTCAGTTTGGGGACGTGAATGAGGTTTGGAACTTGAAAGGGGCTCTAGAAATCATTTAATGTAACTCTCTCCATAGGTAAGATGACTAGGTATCCAGAAGGGATTTGTGAAGGGTTAAGCAGTGGTGCAATGTCTGGACTAGAATGCAGATTTCCAGACTGGTCGCCTAATTTTGTTCCACTCATTCTAATTTCCATCCACAGTTAATTACCCCTCATTTTTACCTTCATATTTCTCATCTACTTAAAATTAAAATATGCAAAATTTACAGATATGAAAAACATGAACATATATTCTGCACCCTGTAGGAAGAGTTCTAGGATACTTTCTGGGGAGAAATGGAAAGGAACTGTAACAGGAAGGAACATAAAAAATGCCTAAGGGCCATGAGTAATCTGCTCAAAAACATAAGAGGCTCTCCGGTAAAATGAAAAGTTGGAAAAACCAGGCACTTACGGTTTACACCAACAAATCCTATGTCGACAACTAATAACGGGGGCAACTCTTGTTTAACTGCTCTAACTCTGAACTCCTTGTCTGGACTTGTATTTGGGTTCCCACAAAATATCTAAACAGCTACAGAGTGAGGTTAACTGGGGTTTAAACAAGGTAGGGTAGACTGTGGAAATCAGTATCACTTCCAAGAATTACTGACAGACCATCACAGAGGAGAGTAATTTTAACTTAACCTGATAAGCCGTGATGGAATAGTGTTTTGTTTTTGCTTACTTTTCAATACTGAGCTAAAGTTATGCTTGCAATTTAGGAGGTTAAAAAAAAAAAGGCAACAAAATGTTGGCAGTCCCTAAAGATAGCAACAGCTGCTGGAAAACGGACTATATGCTTTCTAAATATAAAAATAAATATGGAATCAAGCATTGGCAGCATGATATAGTGAAAAAAGCAAGAGCCAACAAGAAGTAACCTTAAGGTTATTTAGTATCCATTAGACTCGTTTTTTTTCATCTGCCAAATACCCATTCAACCCTCAGGTTTCCTGTGAAGGCAAGATTACCTGTTTGTGAAAGCATTTTGATAAATGTTGAAAACATTTTGCAAAAGGCAAGCTTTCACTATTAGTAACAATTGTGCCTAAAGCAGGAAACATTTGTGATACAATCTTCTGGGACAACCAAAACCCAAAGATTAATCTGGTTCCCTGCCTTTATAATCTTCCAGGCTTCACAACTACTGACATTTCATCCCATCTGCAATCTTGCTCAAGCCTCGCTCACCGGCCAAGAAGGTCCTAAGTTGCTGAGGATCTTACTGGGATTTTGGTGAGGTTCAACTATTAACATCTGTGTTGTACACTGTGATCAAGTCCCCACCCGATGCACAAATCTGCTGCCCCTGGAACCCATACTCTAGGCTAGTTGTCCACTGGACTTCAAACCTGTGAGACCACCTGTTGGCAGGTCTCTGCTGTACCCACCTTATGAGAGAGCCCAAAACTACAAGTAGTCCATCTATGGAACACATAATAATGTCTACACAAGCAACTCAACTTGGCCCCTCTCAACAATGAACTAGTTTTAACTGTAGCACCAAGGGTGCTAACTAAGACTGATGGCATACCCCAGTGCTGGCTGGAAGAATGAAGCTCATGGACAGATTCACTAAGTCATTTCCTTTTCACCACAAAGCTCCTGTTAATCTTAAATTACACCAACTTGGAAAATATGCAGAAAGGTAGAATGTGTCTATTCTTTGAAAGCAGGAACAATAATTCTTTTAAAAATTCCATATGGTATTTAATATGATATTTCATGCTTATAACTGTGTCTATATGCACACTTGGGATACCAAACAACTTCATCTAAATCCCAAGTTTTCTTCCTTCCTTTTCTTTCTTATTTAATTCATAAAGATTTTATTGATTTATTCATGAGAGAGAGAGGGGGGGGGCAGAGGGAGAAACAGGCTCCATGCAGGGAACCTGACATAGGACTTGATCCTGGGTCTCCAGGATCACACCCTGGGCTGGAGGCAGCGCTAAACCATTGGGCCACCAGGGTTGCCCTCTCTATCATATTTAAATGAAGTGATCTTGAGAAGGAACAGTATATAAAATTTATCATGAGATACTTGAAAGATAGCTATTTAAAAGGATTACTACTATGAATTCTTTTATAGAGTTTAATATACTTTGGTAAACGATAATCAATTGCTAATTTTTATATACCCTAGATGTTCTCCTAGTAAATTTCCACATGTATAAAGTGCTGACTACATAATCTTTTTTTTTTTTTTAATTTTTATTTATTTATGATAGTCACAGAGAGAGAGAGAGGCGCAGAGACATAGGCAGAGGGAGAAGCAGGCTCCATGCACCGGGAGCCCGATGTGGGAGTCGATCCTGGGTCTCCAGGATCGCGCCCTGGGCCAAAGGCAGGCGCCAAACCACTGCGCCACCCAGGGATCCCATGACTATATAATCTTATTTTAATTTTTTATAATTCTAGATTTCTAGGATTAAAGAAATTTTATGTTTGGCAGAATTACTGATTAATATAATCTCCTTTACATTTTAATATTATCGTTACTCAACATTACTTGAGTAATCAACTCAGCTAATATTTAATATTTCTGAAATTGGGTTTATCTTATAATTGATGGGAATCTCATGAGTACAACTACTAGGCCTTTTCTTCCCTTTCTTCTTGGTATATAGAATAATAGCATATCTTACAACTGATGGCAATTTGTAGTCAGTGAATAAGGTAAATAATTCAACAGAAAGAAAAGGTGCTCTTCTTTAGGTTGGTTAATTATTCTCCTAACCGGGCAAGATGGCAGCTCAGAATTCTGGCTCAACTACATTAGAATAATTAAGCTTTCATCAAATAGTCATTTTTGAAACAGTATATAATCATAATTCTCAATTGAGACTGCTACTATGATAACCAATGATATGGTAGAAAGTCTACATGGAAATTCCAAAATGAGAATTTCTATTAGTAAGAGTTCCAGCATTAATACAATGCATTTCTAACATTTTCTCATGGTGTACAACTATACATTTCTATAAACTTGATTAACAGAAGCCTATTCATTCTCTGGGTAATATCTGCTGAAGATACTTTATCTGTCAATCAAAGATTAACTTACAACAACACTATATATAGATTAAACCTAGAGCTAAATGACTGCTTAGGAGTTATTATTTTCAGGGCACCTGGGTGGCTCAGTCGGTTAAGCGGCTACCTTTGGCTCAGGTCATAATCCCAGGGTCCTGGGATGGGTGATGGAGCCCTGCATCCAGAAAGAAACATTAGTATTGTAATACAATGATCCTATTAACATCTATGACTTTGATCTGGGTACTTAAAAACAATTTATCCAAACAGAAGTAAAATCAGGCTTCAGGAAGTCTCTTCTGAGCAGGCCAGAAGGGAGACTGTACTGATCCAACAGGGGACATTAATCCTACTGGAAATGCTAGAATGGAACAACTTTGCTGTAGCCTTCTTTAGGTTGGCTGTTGGCTTCAGTTGACAGGAAGAAAATTGTGTGCTAATGAAAGAAAAACATTTTTTCATAGATTTTTTTTTTTTTTTTTTTTACTTTAGGCAGGTGCTATTTTTCCCCCTGATGTTAGGAATAACAAAAAACATTTCCACAATCAGATTAAAATAAAAGCCAAAGCCCTTCTTCATTAAGAGTTAACTAAAGAATGCTTTCCTCTATTTGGGAAAGCCACTGTTTTCCAATAAGCACATGGAATGGGACAATGCTCAAACCACCAGATATTGTGTATTGATACTGGTTATTAGTGGGGTAAAGGTCACAGACCAATTTCCCCAATATCCACAACTCTTAGTAAAAAGTATCTACAGGATTAACATTTTTATCACTGTAAAGTGAACAAGATAAGGTTTTGTAAAGGCAAGGCTGGGGGAAGGTAAGAGGAAGCTTTTATTTCTTATTTTAACAAAATCACATAGAAAAAAATCAGTTACCGATTTTAGGAATTGATTGTCATAATCCACAAGGGTTTCCACTAATGAAATGTCTTCCTTCACTTTTACTATGTATGTGACTACAATAAAAGATAGTTATTTTAAGCAAATGGTGCAAGATCTAAAAGTAAGAAATCTCCACTGAGAAAAACTGTGCTTTGGGAAAATACAAATACATGTGAAGTTATACAAGACATCTTCACACCCAATTTCCAACCTATCTCTTCTGGGGTAGAGACCACCGAACGAAAATGAAAAAGGCACCTAACTTTTCTAAACCAAGTCACAAAAATGTTTTCTAACAAGAAATTCAAGTAGAATTAGAAGCCTGTAACAGAGGATTATTATAGAAAGCAACTTCTGGCAAAAACTCAAAGTAAAATCTGTTCTAAAAGCAAATTTAAGAAATGGGTTCTATGCTACTTTTAATTAGCTTTAAAGTATACAATTCCCCATGACTGTTGTGAAGGACACAATATAAAGGCACATTGTCCTATAAAGGTTGGCAAAATCTTAACTATATCAACACCAAGTAACATTCAGAGACTGCTTCCATTTGCTGCAGAAAATAATTATTTGGCACTGATAAAGTACTCCCTTGTTGTTTCCATCCCTCATGCTGTTGTAATCGGAATAAAAGTTGAGAAGGTTCTGTACTTAGTTTCACTGCATGTGCCAGAACTAAGAAAATAAGATATTTTAAATGAAAATTCAATTCTAATATACATTCAGCAAGCATTTCTTTTTTTAATTAAGAGCTACCATATAAGTAGGTCAGTACTTGAACTGCCCAGAGGTATAGAATAAAATAATTTAATTGCTCATAAAATAACACTCAAGTGAGTTTCATTTAGAGTCAAAAGTATTCATAAAAAAATGTTTTTAAATTCGGGTTTCCCTAATTTCTACATCACAAAACAACAGGCAGACAGTATTTACATGTGTACCTTAACTATAATGAGCAGATTGAAGATTAATGAACATTCAAATCCAAATATATCCTCAACAAGTGGCAATTCAACTGTTACTTTGTTTTTTTAACACAACAACCATGTCACCACAGTTCAGAGCTAATGTGGACCCAAACAAAATCTTCGGTAATGATCATGACTGGAACTAGACAAAAGAAAAGCAGACAGTCTCTGAAAATGGTGATCAAAATTAATAGGTGTTACATCTCTGCATAAGCATTTTACTAGCCAGCTATAGGGATGCCATGACCCAGTAAGAGTGCAGTATAGGAGACTTAGTTGATGTCAGAATTTAAGGTAATACGCTCTCATAAAATTTAAAATATAGCATCAAAAAGGAAACAAAAAGGAGTATTAGGTGGTGTATAGCCAAGTTTTAACCAACTATTCTGTGCTGTTCTTCCTGAAGAGGTACCATGTGAAACAAGAATGGGTCTCCCCTGCTCCACTAGTACATCAGGACTGCAGACCAAGCATCTACACAGGAAGAAAAGAAACTCTGTCTCGCCTTTCTCAGAGAAAATCACATGTTTTACAACACATTCTGAATCACCACAACATGGCTGTAAGCTCTATCTTATCTTCCTCATGGGCTCACCTAGCAAACAAGACTGTTCCCACACTGCAAATGAGCCTGATGCCTCTTGCAATCTTCACTGCTCTTTCTTCCCTACAAATCTACCTACCAGATGACTATTCATGCTTCACAATGCAGTCCAAAGACAACTCAGTAAGGAAGATTTCCTGGTGCTTAGAGGCTCTCGCTCTCCATGCAGCCTTTTCTCACATTCCATCCTGCCTTATGTAGTCTGATTAGACTGAATTCTCTGAGGGCTACATCTCCCAATAAGAGTTAATAGCACCACAAGCACCACACTCACATCTGGCTTTCAATCATTGTGTAACAGGAAGGATTGAGTCCAGCATGTCCAAGCCCATTTAGAACCCTAGAGTGCATTTGTAGAGTGCAACTCTTCCGGGGTTTAAAATGGTCCGAAACTGAGGTCTATGATGTTTCTAGCTATCTTCTGAGTGCAGGTTTATGTGAGGTACAGTGGTAAAGAATCTAGATATCTGTGTCCCGAGGCTCTCCTGAACATGTCCAAGCACAAACGGAGTTTAGTAATACTGCATTCATCTTGCAGCTAGGCCAAATGACAATGCTAAGGCTCTACTTAAAGCAAGTCCCCACATGTGTTTCAAAGCAAGGCTTTGCTTCACCAGAAGTCTAAAACTCACTGTAGTACAGATATTCACATATTTAAAGTGTGGGTTAACCACAAGCAAGACCCAGTTACTAAGACAAAGCTGCCTTTATCAACTAGTCTCAATTCGTGGTCTGGCATATTTATTTATAGCACCAGTAGAGAATTTTAATAATTTAATGAACTGGAAAGGATAATAAATTCTCAGAAATTCACATGAAAGGAAGAAAGCAGTCATATGAATAATCTAAAAAAATAGATAATTAAAGAGACTTTTACTTTGAAATGTGTTTCATTTGTACTTAACACTGAATGGATAAATTTCCACTACATTTAGACACACCCAATCCTCAAACAAAGTAATAAAACAGGCTTGTGTGTACAGGGCTCCTATGTGAATAGTCTGGAAACTCACGCCTACATGGCAAACAAACCACAGTGCCAGGGATGGGCAATGTCCCATTAAAATTACTGCAGAAAATGAGCACAAGTAGAAAAGTGCACTTTTTACACATGTGCATTTCCATGTCATGATTTATTAAGAAACAAAAGTGTTTGATTTTTTCCCAAAAATAAAGAATTCTCAACTTCTATCAATATATTCTCTTATAAGACTGAAGGAAGAATAAATGGAGACAGTAATATCAATAGTGGAATAAATAGCTGAGTATCTTCTCCACAGCTGCCAAGTCTCTTGCATGTTAGTAAAGGAAAATTTTTATCACCAGTAATGATTTTAAAAATCATTAGTAGGGATGATTTATTAACAAACTGTTAAAATGCAATGGTTTGAATTGTGGGCAAAATATAAAAAATAACTTTGATTTCCAAATAACTTAAAATGGCTATCAAAAATATATTTTTTGAGCAGGTGGGATAAGGTAAATATATTATTTTGTGCCTGTTGTTTAAAGAATGAATGATTTTATGGTATTATTTTAAGCAGTTTTGAAATGCACTGATTAAGAAAGTATCTGAAATAGGTAGAAGTGACTGAAGCCCTCTGAAACCTCTTAGTAACATCT